TGGTTATAAGGCACGTGTGCTCACTGGAGAGACAGAGACACACAAAAGTGAGAGATCACCCCCTGGGGGGATGGCCACGCCACAGTCTCTTCTCCATTCTCCTTGGGATTTTGGGCACACATGCACATGCGCTGGCATGAGTTTCAAACCTCCAGGTCCAGGCTTGAACCATGGTTGACTACAGGGGAATCTGCAACATAACCGTTACACTATCTTCTGGTCCCCATTTTATCTTATTTCTATGAATAGATGGTTGCTTATAACTTTATGAGAAAATCAAAGGTGATATTTTTCTATGGGCTGCTAGTTACCCAGTGTATGTCACCTGCATTTCCTCTGAGCAGACCTGACTGCTGGTGCTCTTCTGGTCCGTGGTGCGAACATTGGTTTGGTCTATTGATCTCTTTCTCTATCCCATTGAAGTTTCTACTCTATTCTTTTTTTTAGTTAGAAAATATAGTCCCTCCATTATGACTGACATAAAGTACGTACAGGGTGATCTCTGGGGTACATTCTTCATACAGTCTTAACAGATAACGTGTTTATACCTCAGCCCAGTTAAAGAAAAAAATTAAGATTATATTAGAAATTCTCTGAATGCCCTTCACAACCCCATCTCTTTCTCTCTTCCATCAAAGGCAATCCTGAATTATATGTTTCTCTCTCTTTTTTTTTTTTTTAGCTTTTATGCATATTTGTCCCTACACAGCAGCTAAATTTATAATCCAGCAAAATGGTATATATTTTATTGGGGAAAGAATAAGGCAAGGGGAGTGGGTGTTACCTGGGAGCCAAATGGGGCTTAGCATCTAAGGGGTCCAAGTAACCAACACGTCTCAGGTGTCCTATGAACAGGGACACAAGTGTGATGAGCGTGGTCTGAATGCTTTCAGGCAGATAATGGTAGAGAAGCTGAGTGTGGAGGGGAGGTGCTTGGGAATCTTGCCAGGAGTATTTCTGGGGACGACCTCTTTACCACTATTCATCCAGTGGTGATAAGGCTAGAACGAGTGAAGAGGTTCCTGACAGGTGCTATCATGAGCACGCGGAGCCCCCAGACACTGTGGGACTCTTGCCCTGAGCGACTGAAGCACCAGGAGAGGAGTGGCCTTGTCCGGAGCACATGGCACAGTGGAATTCTCTTGATGCGAGTATTTGGAGCTCTGGTGCTTGCTTGACTCTTGAAGTTGGAGAAGTGACGTTTAAGGGAGGGATGCTGTTGCTCTGAGCATAGTTTAGGACTTCCTCTGGCTCCTCTGCCAATGGAGGTGAGGAGTCTTGGGGGAGGAGTGGACTCGTCTGGTGTTTGTGGGACACTCATCATCAGACTTGTTGATGTGTGCCAGCCTGGTGGGTGTGAAATGTTATTTTGCTGTGGTTTCACTTGCATTTACCTGATTTCATTCAAAAAGTCCAAAATTCTAAATCTTTTAGTTGTTACTTCATATAACTTTACTTTTGCCTTCCATGATTATGTGAGTTTTATTTGTCATGTATTTGTACCATCATCAGACACCTAAGATGATTTTTTATTTTTTTATTTATTTTTTTTTTTATCATCATTAAACACCTAAGATGATTTTTTTTTTTTAGTTTTTGCTGAAAAAAACTGAGTGCGTTTACTCACCAGAGAGTGATGCAGAGAGAGGGCAAGTGAGAATTCACCCCCCAGGAGGGATGGCCATGCCACAGTCCCTTCTCGTCCAGTCTCCTGTTAGGATTTGGGGCAGAGTGATTTTCAAGTTGCTGGTTGGGATTTGGGGCAGAGTGATTTTCAAGTTGCTGGGTTCAGGACTCAAACCAAGCAGTCAGCCATGTAGAATCCACCTCCTTAACCTACACGCCATCTGCTGGCCCAAAACTCCTAAGATTTTACTCACAACTGAAGCTTTTACTATGCTCATTCTTGTCAGCATGCCCTCCAGGAAATCTGGTATTTTGCCCTGTGAAGGATCACCAAATAAGAGGTCATTGAGCACCGTGTCTCCCCTCCGTGCAAGGAACTGAATTGGTAGCCCGCATCCGTACCTCGTTTTCTATCCTCAAAAGCACATCAGTAATCTACATCGATTCTTCCACCTCTTCTGGGGCCCTGATCAAAACACAGGCCTCCTGGAACCAGCAGTTAGCGTAATGACTGTGTCGCTGTACTCCTATGTAGTCAACCGCGGTTTGAGTCCCAGACCCGGTGGCTTAAATTCACACCGGGTGCGTGTGCATGCGTGCCCAAGATCCTGAGAAGAGAATGGAGGAGAAGGGATTGCGGCATGACCATCCCCCCTGGGGGGTGATTTCTCACTTTCTGTCTCTGGCAAAAACCTCTCCAAAAAAGAAAAAAGAGAGGAAAAAAAAATAAAAACATGCCCCCCCCCCCCTAAGCTGGCAGGTAGCATAATAGTTAAGGTACTGGACTCCCATATGGATGACTATGGTTTGAGTTCTGGACCTGGTGGTTTGTTTTCTCACTTTCCCTCTCTCTGTCTCTTTCTGATCAAAATAAAATGACAATAATAAATTAAAAAACAAAATTTAAAAATACATAGGCCCCATGTTGTAGTACTGTCAGGAGTTCTTCACATAATTTTTAAACTTCCTATCTTTCTTTTTAAAGAATTATTTAACTTACTTTCGTTTAATTTGCCAGAGCGGGACAGAGTGAGGGCGACAGAGAGAGGGAAAGCAAGCCGCCAGGTCTGGGACTCCAACCGCAGTCAGCCAAGTGAGAGTTCAGTGCCCTTAACCACCACGCCACGTGCCAGCCTGTAAACTTCCTATTTTAAAATCTGAGAGTCACAGCTATCATTGATAGTCTGTAAGGAAAATTCTTTGCTTGAACACAACGAAGGCTGTAAGTCTTGCTTTTCAAGTCAGATCTTTATACAGTTTTAATATCTGTACCCTCCCCAAGATCCGTTACTGTTCTTACAGGATTGAACCTCAGAATTTATGAAAAGAGAAAAGACAGGGTGTATGCTGTCCTCTGATGATTTGTGGCTCCCCGAGTGGCTATCTAGTTCCATACATCCTGCTGCTTCACCTTGTTTTCGTGCATAGTCAGTATTAGGTAGAAGTACAGAGATGAGGGGTCAATAGGTGGCATGGTGGTTAAGGCACTGGACACTCCACATGGCTGACCACGGTTCAAGTCCCGGACCTGGTGGCTTGCTTTCTCACTTTCTCTCTCTGTGTGTTTCTTTCTCTGGTCAAAATGAAATAAATGAATGAATAAATAAAATAAACAATTCTTTTTTTTTTTTTAAAGTGCAAAGATACGATACCATCTGCCCATCTAGTAGATTTGCTATGCATTGCCAAGAACAGCTCAGGGCGATGCCTTACTTCCCTTCTCAAACTGACAGTGTACATAACCTATAAAGAAAGATGCCGGCAATGGGAGCTGTCCTTGGTTTCCTTCATAGCCTTCCAAGAATTTCATTTAACTTCATAAGGGTAGATATTAAGAATGTGTGTGTGTGTGTGTGTGTGTGTGTGTGTGTGTGTGTGTGTATTTTATTTTTTTTAAGAGAGATTTTTGTTATAGGGCACGCATGCTGGCCAGAGAGACAGAAAGCAAGAAATCACTCCCCAGGGGGGTGACCATGCCACAGTCCTTTCTCTTCCATTATCCTCTCGGGATTTTGGCCACACAGGCACATGTGCCTGGTGTGAGTTTTAAGCTGCCAGGTCTGGGAGTCAAACCTCCGTCGACTATGTGGGAGTCCAGCGACATAACCATATGCTCTACTGGTCCCGCTATTAAGAATGTTATCTAATAATTTTGTAAACTTCTTCCTGGGTGGATTGAGCCCTATTATGGAAAGTCTTTCGTTGTTAATGGTACCCCACACATTATGGGAATATCATATATGTTTCTCATTTTACAGAAGAGATCTACAAGAGAAGATCGAACATCGTTATGCAGATTTCATAATTTCCCAAGTTCAAAAAAACAAGTAGAAAAAAGAGAAATACAGTCCTAAATATAAAATTAAGCTTGTTCTAATAAAAATTTTTTTAGGAGGTTTGCCTTCGGGTGCATGCACTCAGTGGAGGGAGAATCAGAGACAGTGAGAGGGAAAGTGAGAAATCACCCACCTCCCACCCCTCCAGTGGGATGGCCATGCCACAATCCCTTTTCCTCCATTCTCCTGGGATCTTGGGCATGTGTGCACAAGTACCTGGCATGATTTTTTTAAAATTATTTATTTTATTTCATTTATTTTTAAAATTTAACCAGAGAGAGACAGAGATTGAAAGTGAGAGAGAGAGGAAGTAAGAAAGCAAGCCACCAGATTCAGGACTCAACCCATGGATGACCAGGTGGGAGTGTCCAGCGCCTTAACCACCACGCCACCTGCTGGTCCCCCAACTGGCGTGATTTTGAAGCCTCTGGGTCTGGAACTCGAACTGTGGGTGGGCCACATGGGAGTCCACTGATAACTGCTATGCCATCTGCTGGTTCCTGGAATACAAATCCTAAATGAGCCAAACCCTTCCTAGTGCCCATAGGCTTGCATAAGAATAACTTCCAACAGATAAATTGGTTTGGACTTGTATTAAATTGTCATGAGACAGTTCTAATTCACTACCTTGACTAACCCAAATAATTTCCAGATGCATGTTTATAATGATAATGTAAGCAACTGCAAAGCCCATATGAGTCGTCTGAAGTTTTATCATTTGCAGGTATGTGACGTATTCCCAGACCCTCCAGCCAACTCAACATCAGCTACTTTGATTGGGTCCTGATTAAGGTCCTCCCAAGACAAACAACATCACTGGCTGCTCGCTCAACAGGACTCTACCAGGTTTTCCTAACCTCCCCACATCCAGTGCTGAGGCCTTATCACTTGGGTACGTGTATTACAGCAGCTGGAGTGCCAGCGCCGACCAAAGACTCCTCGGACCTGTCAGCACCTCTGTCACACCAAGCAGACGTAACAACCATCCTAACAAAGCAGAGTAAACCAAGTGCCTCTGTGACACCACCACCAACTGATAACGTGCAAGAAAAAATCAAGTCTAGAGTCCTATCTTTCCTGGGAAGCTGGGATTTGAAGGAGCTGTTCTGCCATCTATGCAACTAGTAAGTGACTGATGACATTATAGACTGAATCCATCTCTGAGGTCAGAGACTGAGTGCAATTGAGTGAAAAGTAGACAACGAAATCTTGAAGAATTGCCTTGAGGTGCAAGCCAAATTTAACTTACTCCAAGTAGTGTCGGTTGGACTGAGAAATTGCTAAACCAAACCTGTAATAGGACTGGTTATTTGGGTAACTCTCTTTGTCTTTATTGCTGCTTACTGTTACTTGTTTCCAGTGTTGTCTTTCTAGGTCCAGATGTTCTCAGATAATTCTCATTGCCCTGATTGTGGACAACAGTGGTTCCCTAGTTTAGAACTAGGCCATTGGTTGTACCAAACCGAACTCGTTGAAAATGAATGTTACCAAGTATTCTTAGACCGTATTAACAGAGCCGATTATTGCCCTGAGTGTTACCCTGATAATCCTGCTAACAGAAGCCTTGTTCTCCCTTGGTCTTTCCCACTTGAGTGGGCTCCCCAAAATCTCACCAGGTGGACTTTTGAAAAAGCTTGCCATCCATTTCTTCTGGGTCCTCCACTGGTTAGAAAAAGGATACATGACTCCAGAGTGGCTGGTTTTAACCCTGCATTACAGTTAATCTTGACCAGAACAGATAAAACCCTAAACAAAAAACTTGGCCAAAACAAATAACATCTGTAACCGTCAAAATCATGGGGACTCTAGAGGGTTTTGTGCTAGTAACCCAAGGGAGATGGAAAAAGAACTCTTTTCTCAATCTGACCCAGACTGTCACTAGTTGGGGAACCGCTTAAATTGTTGGATCTGCTGCTAAGGCATACACATATTTTGTTCAGCATGAATTTAGTAAGTATTCTAGACAGATTATTCATCTAGAACCAGACTAGTTTATGTTCCCTATAAAAGATGTTTTGAAATTAGCTTGCCCCTCCTTAAAAGGTTCCACAGCCTAATTATTGACTTAGGACAAGTTAGTCCCTTAGAAGGGGAAGTACCATACTGTGTGCTCCGTAATGGTATTCTACTGGTAACTTTCATGGGGAAACATCCTCATTGTAGGTCCTAGAGTATTCTAGTAAATTTTAATAAAAAAAATTATTGTTATAAATTCTACCTTAAATTCTACCTTGTATGCATTGATCAGTGAAAGATTTTACATACATTTGTACAGTTTAATCCTATGTAACCACTTAGTCATCATTGGCTCTCCTTGGCCCATGTTCATTGTGGCTGTGACCTTATTGCTAACTGGTCACTGGTAGAGAAATTACATTCTATTAGGTAACACCTTCATAGGTTACTCAAAAACATTCAGAAATACCATTGTGTGTACTCGACTTGGCTCTTCATGAGCAAGGACTGTCTTTGTAGTACATCGTCCTCCCCCGGAATGTACCTGTACTGTGAGATACATGACAGAAAGAGTTACTGAGCCTTACTCCATATATAACATGGACAGTCTAGGGGGAGGGAAGTATCTTTTTTTAGAACTAAGAAAGTCTGGCCAGACATTGGCCATGTTCTAGTTTTATCTTGCTCATGAAAATCATGGATCCAGAGTAGTTGGGGTTAAGCAATTTAGAAAAAGTCATTGGAAACTTCTCAGAGGCCACTGAGTAATTTTTAAGTTCCATTGTAGATGCTAGGTTATGTAACAGCTCAACAGTGTTATCACCTATCAAGGACCCAGTTTTTGTCCTTCCGCTCTGGAATCCTTATCATGTCTTTTTGTCCTCATGGTTTTCCTCAATATATGCAATATGGCTTGTTGCTGTGCCAGGCATTTCAGCCCCAACCAAAGGCTGGAAGCAGGGAGCAAAAGACATTCTCCTTTCAGCTGTTTCTTTTATTTGAGTAAAATCTTGTCCAAAAGTCCTTAGATGATTTCTTAGATCTCTTTAGGAGGTACCAGTTGATAAGGGAGCCTGGGAAAACTGGGCAGAGGAGAATGGGGTTGGCATTGCCTGGATAGGGCACATTGCCTCTTCTAATAAAATCAGGGCTCTTTTAGGAAGGAAATGGGGGGTGAATGGCTGTTGGTATGCGACAAATCATGCTTGCCACATGTTGTGAAACCGAAAGCTCTTTGTTAGTCTGTGTGAAGAATGTACCGCGGAGACCCACCTGTATCTGCCTTATCTGTCTATCGTGATGGAGGTTCTCTTCTGTTGTATTGCTGAATAAAACCGTGTGGACTGCTAAATTGAGTGAAGACTAGTTAGTTTATCATTAACTCTTAACTAAGGACTTCGTACTAACCCAAAGCTCTTTTTAAAAAGTGAAAATTTATTTTGAGATTGTACTTTTCTTTTTTTGGAGAGGTTTTTACTATAGGGCCTGTGCACTCTCCAGAAAAAGAGAGACAGAAAGTGAGCAATCACCCCCCAGGGGGATGACCATGCCGCAATCCCTTCTCCATTTTCTTCCTAGGATCTTGGGCACACACACACATGCCCGGTGAGTTTAAGCCACCGGGTCCGGGACTCGAACCACGGTCAACTACATGGGAGTCCAGTGACAGCCGTTACACCAGCTGCCAGTCCCGAGATTGTACTTTTGACAATGGAATTATCAATATCGCCTACATTTTTTCCAGTTATTAAAAAATGCTTGTGCTGCAGGGACACATACTAAGAAATACTCTATATGTTTGAAATGTTAAATATCAGCAAAATAGAGAAAAGTCTTTTAAACAATCTGTCCTTTAAATAGAAAGGTCAAATGAAAAGGATTTATATCATTGATTTCTCACATTGCTACCTAAGCAGTAACTGGGAGAGCTCGTTTAAAAATGGAGATTTCTTGGCCTAGTACAGAAAATTTTGGGATTGCTTAGGTTGCTTGAGGGGTCTAGGACTGTGCGTATTGTAAATAGCACCTCAGGAGATTACGCAGGTGCTCTGTGGACCACATTTTGAGAAACACTGTAGTAGCACATGCATATGGTTTAGTCCTCTGCCTGAAGAGCCAGGGAGCTGAATGCCTGTAACACTACCAGGGAGAAGTATTCACTCTTTGCTTTGCTGGTGATTAAGAAGTTTCATGTCAGACTGAAGGTCACTGTTAATATTTTAGATCCTGTCACTTTTTTCCTCATTAATAAAAACAATCAGAACTATTTTAGTCCTAACAGTTTTTCACAAATAGCCTAGTGGTGTTGATAGCTATGTTAGTGTATGGAGTAAGGAAAAGGAATAAAATGATTACTTTCATTGTATTAGGACAGGTACTTTGCCTTTACACATGATTATATTATCATGTACCTGTTAAATGGTCAGCTCTCAAAATCACCATCATGAGATAGAACTCATAAAATTGAGCAAAGAAGAAAGTTTAGGAAGCTTTTGTAGCTTTTTAGCTTAGATCATTTCAGTATGACTTTATATGGCTTAAAATATTTCAGATTATTATAATAGCCCACTCTATAGATAATAGGAATAATGAATTATTTTAAAAATATAAATATGTTCCAAAAATTAATTCTAACAACAATTGGTCTGGAAGGATCATTTTTAAATTGTGTGAGCCATTTGAATAGTTTTTTGTTTTTGTTTTTGATGTTTTGGTATAGCAAAGCAGGGAATTTATTAAAAGGGAGCTCCCAAGAGGGGAGGGGTCCAGGAAAATAGATCGCCTACAAGTAGTCTTTAAAGTTTGCAGAATATGTGTATTATGAAAAAATTATACTGGTATTTCAAACTTGCTTTATTTCCTTTTTTCTACAAACTTTTTAAAAACCTTTCTTCTTTTAAGTTTGTTCCTTCTGTTAGTGAGACATGGAAGAGACAGGCAGCACCCCAACAAGGTCTTTATTATTTTTTTTAAAGAATTATTTATTTATCATTGTTATTATTATTTTTCACATGAATTTTGCCAAAGACAGAGAGAGAGAAAGAGAGGGAGAGTGAGAAAGCAAGCTACCAGGTCCAGGACTCGAACCATGGTCAGCCACATGGGAATTGCAGCATCTTAACCACCACGCCACCTGTTGGCCCCCCCAACAAGGTCTTGACGTTGCATTCTACCCCAAGCTTCAGCTAGCCGAAGGTCATAGGTTAGCACACACACTCAGATCTGCACACTTTTTAAAGTTCTCTTGTATTAGTCTTTACTTCCATGGTGTGAGACAGTTGATATTATTTGCCCATAATGGTGGTGTTTCTAAAGTGACCCTTATAACTACTTCTTGTTACTTTCTGGCAGTCTTGGGAGTGGAAGGGTGAATGGATAGACTGGGAAGAGACTGTACACACCAAGGAGGTGGCTCTCATGGCGTGTAGTTGATTAAGGTAAGATTCATCTCTCACGTGATCAGAGAAGGAAGCCCAGACGAGCAGACAGGCAAAAACACAAGTCTGGGCGTCCAGTGAGTAGGTGGCAAGTCAGGTCAGAGCTGTCTATAAGAGGGAGATGAGCCCATGCCCCTTTCATCTCTCCTCTGGTGACCCTTGAGTCTTTTCCAAAATATAATTTGAAAACTGCTTTTTACAGAGGAAAAAGAATGGGCTTGCAGTGAGCTGGGTTTGTATTCTAATTGGGACACTACTGAATGACCTTGGGCATTTTAACCTCTGCATCTGTTTTCTTCATCTGGGAAAATAGGTCTTGTAATAATACTTGCCTCTACTGTTAGAGGGTTCACTGTGTTAACGTAGACCATAGGCACATAGTCTTTAGAACTAGAAAAAGTACAGAGCAACAAGGCAGAAGTTAAGACTTGGGGAGTAGGAATAAGGAATCGGATAAGGAATGAAAGCCAGCTTGTAGAATTTGATGCTGAATTATTGAAAACTTAGATCTTTGGATGAAGCTAGTTTGGAACTGAGGTTGAACTTGGAGTTGTGAGTAAAATAGTCTTAAGTGGAAGCAGCTCAGAGGCCTGGAGGACCCAAGGCTGACCTCGACACATTTATAAGCCCATTTGTAATCTTAATTATGGTAGATGTAATAGCTGTATGATTTTTTTTTTTTTTTGATATATCACCCAAGGCTTTCTGCAACACTGAAATAACCAAGTTGAGAAAAGTTGAAGGATATGTCCAGATTCACCCGGATCACGTCTACTAGTCACAGTTCAAACCTAGGTTGAGGTATTCCCGAGTCTGAGTGTTATGTAGTATGTTTACTATAAGGTCTTTTTTTTTTGGGGGGGGGGGGGGGGGGGGGGTCAAGATTAAAAGCTTGAGTCTCATAGCCAGACTACCTGAGTTCAAATTCTGATGACTCTTCCCTAACTAGTATGTTCTTGCATAAAGTTCTTAACCTTTTTTATATCTGTTTCCTCATGTATAAAATAGTAGGGATATGAACACATTGTCGATATTTTTTGAGATTGTTCAAAAACATAAGAGAGTCAAATACTTTATTTTTTTAAGAGAGAGGTTTGGTATAGGGTGCGTGTGCTTGCTGGAGAGACAGAAAGCAAGAACTCACCCTTCAGGGGGATGGCCTCGCCGCAGTCCCTTCTCCCTTCTTTTCTCGGGATTTTGGGCATGCCTGTACACACACCCGGCGTGAATTTTAAGCTGCCGGGTTCAGGACTTAAACTGTGGTCAACTACATGGGAATCCTTTGATGTAATCATTACACCATCTGCTGGGTCCAGAATCAAATGCTTTAAAACTCATTACTCAGAATCAAATTGGTGTATAAACCTGTAACATGCATCAAGTTGTCCTTATCCCTTACGTCCCTTAATTTTGTGTGTTGGCGTCTCCTAAACTCGGTTGTGTGACTGCAGAGCAGAGGACATTTGGTGGACTAGACAATGACACCAGCATGTCAAAGCACTGTCCTCTGTACAGTGAGATGGAGCAGAAAGGGCACATCTTAAAAGACAGAGCACGGGGCAGCCACGTGTGTAAAGGAAACAGTGAGGTAAATTTGAATCCCTCTTTAGAGAAGTCTCAAGAAATTGATATTAAGCAAGGTATCCCTCACCCTACCATCTGGTTTATTCTTCATAAGTGGAGAATTTTTGAAGCTTTAACCTGTTTAAAGTCCTGATGGAGGCAGTTAAAACGACGCAAGTTTTGCTGCAGATTTCAGGGTCACAGGGAAGTAGAGGTGAGTGTCAGTGATGAGGCTAAATTTTATTTAACTAGAAACTTGAATCACACCTTCACATATGGGGCACTGAAAAACAACATTGCACAATTGAACTTGTAAAGGATTCACTAAGAGTAAATATCTTTTCTGTCATATGAAGCACATGGATCTTCAGTTCTTTTTTGCAAAAGGTACCATCAAAGGTGTATCCTTTTGGACACATTTATGGAATGATCTGCAACTACAGAAAGTTTCTAGCAACCCCGTTTCCCATCAAGATACGGTTCTGCCTCACCTGTGGCATTGTAGTTCAGAGACCATTAAGGAGCACATTTCCTAGTATGGGTTGGATACTGTTCAAAGGACTGACCTACTTCGGTGAGTGAGTTCCTCCAGGGTATATATCTAGAATGGAGTTGCTGAATTGTAGAATATGTGTGTGTGATTTACTCGCCGTACAGCTCGCAGAAGTTCTGTTAACAGTTTACTGCGTACATCGTTACCAGTAGGGTTTAGAGCTGTCTGCCGCTCAGCTTTGGTGGGGCGGTGGTAGCACAAAGCATTGCTTTGCCGGAGGCCATCTGGAAGATTGGGATTTGGTTCCTGGGTCCACTCTACACCCTTGGAGCGTGCACATGCCCATGATCCTGGCTGCCTGGGAAAGGCTGGGAGGAGGATTACAGCGGGAGATCCTCTTTCAGAGTGCCTGTATCTGTCTGTCTATCTGTCTTAAAATAAATAAACAAACTTTTTTTAAAAAGCTTAAAAAAAGAAAAGCTCTCTTTATTTCTAAATCCTCACCAGCATTTGGTCATTTCTGTTGTTCTTCCCAGTTTATATATGGCATCACTCCATTCATGCATTCATCCACTTTTTCACAAACTTTTTCATTAAAATGCAGAGTTGTTATACACTAGATGCTTTATTAGGAACTTGGAATGAAACATTTTAATTCGTAAGATTAAACTTTACAAAAGAGTATATGAGAAAAACACAGACAAGTTGGCCTTTTCAACTAGGCTATCCAAAAATGTTAACATGTTACAGAGCTCTTTCAACTATATTTGCTCTTTCAGATATCTTTATATTTAATCCTCATAGCAATGCTTAATCTCATTTTTATAGATAAGAAAGGTTAAATAATTTACTGATTAATTTGTTTTTGACAAATAAGATTTAACTATAAAACAATACGGGTAAGCTTTTTTATTGCTTATCAATTGCTCCTGGTTTTGATTTCTTTTGTATGAAGCTCATAATTTTTCTTTATCTGTCTTCTTTGACTGTCACGTAAAAAGGCAAAGGGTTATCTTCATAGTTTACAAAACGATACTGTGAGATCGCCATGGAGGGCAATGATGTAGGTCCAGATGAGTTTTTCTGTACTTCAGGGCAGCCACCTTAGGTTGTCGGTAGGCTTCTTCTACTTGACTGCTCGGTAGTAAATGAAAACTTCCGGTGGGCAGACAGAAAATGAGAGGGGCAGGAATAGAAACGACAGCGTAAATCTGCAGTGATTGTCTCAGCACTGACTAAAATGTGTACTCTTAGAATTCTTTTTCATTTCAATTTCAAAGCTGTTCTCTAAGATTCTGGTCACTTGACCTTTTTACACTTTACACTGCAATGTATTAGGAGATTGTGACAATTAGGTAAGTCTGAAACTTTTTTCTTTCTTCTTTTTTTAATTGCCAGAGGGCACCTGCCATCACCAGAGAGGGAAAGGGAGAAAACACTTCCCAATGGGGTATAGTCACATCTCGGTCCCTTCTCCACCATTTCTCAATCCTGTCAGGGTTCTTAGTATTCGTGCATATGCGCCTGGCGTGTTTTTCAAGTCACTGGGCTGCAGCTTGAACCTTGTTTGGCCACGTGACACCCAGCTCCCTTAACCAGTAGGCTGTGGGTCCAGCCCAAGTTTTTTCTTTTTGTCGTCTAGAATTTAGAGTATGCTTTTCATGAACGTTGGAAAGCAACTTCACTAAAAAGTTTCAGAAAAGAATATTACTCATACTAAATAGATTTTAATAAATAAAACTGAGCTTGCTATTTCTCCAGTATTTGGATAAAAAGTCATTTAATTTTTTTGTTTTGTTTTGTTTTAGTCACTGTACATGTGCCTTGTTGCCTAAGTCCATGGGAAGCATGAGTCTGTTGGGACTTGGGACAAGAAAACAAGACACCTTCACCAGGAAGACTAGACACTAAAAAAGCACCCCAGGCTCTGAAGAGATCGAAAACAAACATGACCGACAGTGGACTTAGAGATCCTCCAGAGGGTAAGACTCGTTTGTATAGCACCAAGGTTTGTGCTGTAGGAAACTAGGACTGGGCTAAGAGGGAAATCTGACAACCAAAATCTGACATTGGGAAGTGAAAACGAAGCTGATTCAATTGATTAACTTTTTACGACTACTCTTACTCTTTCATATTTACTGAATTTTATTGTAACACCTGACCCTCATTATAAGGAAGGTGAAAGATGTAGCAACTCCAGTAGTAGAACCTACAGTATTGGAAAAATATAATACGTTTTTTCAGAAAAGGTGGTAGGCACGACTAGTTATATTTATAAAATGAAGACCACGATGTACTGTGTTTAGAAGATCTTTGATTTTTAGGTAAGGATGAGAGGAACATTCTTCATCCTGCCTTTAGAAGGTAGATAAGTAAAATATCAAAGTGATTTCTTGGGAGAAAAGAAAACATTTAACACCTTTTATTATGGAAATTTTTAAATATGTAAAAGTAGAAAAGTATAATGAATCCCAACATCCGTCTTCAGCAATTCACCTTGTTTTGGGCCCTAGATTATCTTAATGTAAGTTCAAGACCTGTCATTTTGTTGGTATATAGTTTATGTATTTCGCTTTCTTTTTCTTTTTTGTTTTGCTGTGGGCGCAAGCGCTTGCCAGAGAGGGGGAAGATGAGATATCAGTCCCCAACACCAGGGGGATGGCCACACCACAAATCCTTCTCCATTCTCTTCTCTGGGTTTTGGGCATGGATACACACATGCCCAGCATGATTTTCCAGCCTCTGGGTCTGGGATTCAAAGCGCGTTTGGCCACTGGGAGTCCAACACCCTAACCACCGCACCATCTACTGACCCTCGTAAATGTTTCTTTAACAGTTGGTTTATTTGAAACTAGATTTGGATGTTATAGTCTACATATTGTATTTAGTTCCTATGTCTTTTAAGCCTCTCACAGTACATTAACCATTCCTTTTTTCCCCTTGCCGTTTAATTTTTTTTTTTTGGAGAGGTTTTCGCCATAAGGTGCGTGCGCTCACCAGACAGACAGAGATAGACAGAGAGATAGAAAGCAAGAAATCACTCCCCAGAGGGGATGGTCATGCCGCAATCCCTTCTCCTCCATTCTCCTCTCGGCATCTTGGGCACGCACACACACACGCCCGGCGTGAGTTTAAGCCACCGGATCCGGGACGCAAACCGCGGTTGACTACGTGGGAGTCCAGCGACATAGCCATTACGCTAACTGCTGGTCCCAAATTTTTGTTATTATTAAAGAAACAAAGTCTTTTGTCCCTTGGAATTTCCCACATTCTGGAGTTTGCTGATTATATTCCTTGAGTCATCATTTAATATATTCTTCTATTCCTGTATTTCTAGGAACTGGTAGTTATTCCTAGCTTGACTGAATTGTTTGCCAATACTTAATAGGCAGTATAGTGTGGAGAGGTTAATGATATTTAGTTTCCTTCTTTTTGTGATGTTAAGATTGATCAGTGGAGGGATTTGTAGTTGGCATAATGGCTATGTTGCTGGACTCCCATGTAGTCGACTGTGGTTTGAGCACCGGACCCGGTGGCTTAAACTTATGCCGGGCACATGTGTGTGCGTGCCCAGGATCCGGAGAGGAGAAGGGACTGCACTCCCTGAGGGGTGATTTCTTGCTTTCTGTCTCTCTCTTTCTGCCACGCACACACACTCTATAGCAAAAACCTTTCCAAAAAAAAAGAATACAGCAGTTGTCAGTTTGGTTCATTCATTAAAAATTTTCCATCAACCTTTTGCATAAAGAGTTTAGTTACCATTAATGATCATTGCCTAAGTCTATTACTTCATTAGGGAAGAAGATATATTTACTATAACCAAAAGTTGGTTCTATCACTTACAGTTATTTATTTTATTTACTATTACTTTTTAGATTTATTAGCATGATAATAAAATTTGTTCTAATCAGGGACCAGCAGTTAGTGTAATGGCTATGTCACTGGACTCCCACGTAGTTGACTGTGGTTTGCGTCCTGGACCCGGTGGCTTAAAACTCACGCCAGGTGCGTGTGCATGCGTACCCAAGATCCCGAGAGGAGAATGGAGAAAAAGGGATTGCGGTGTGGCCATCCCCCCGGGGGTGATTTCTCGCTTTCTATCTCTCTGTCTCTGTCTGGCAAGCGCATGCACCCTATAGCGATAAACCTCTCCAAAAAAAAAAAAAGTAAAAAAAATTTTGTTCTAATCATCTTTAGTGACAGTCAAGACAAATAATGTTTAGGAATAATGCTTCATAAACTGTGAAAATCTGTATAAGTATACATTTTATTAACCAGAGGCCTTGTTAAAATACAGGAAAACATTTTTAAATAAAAATGATAAATTTTTATCTTACTAGATTCTCAGAAGGATTCGGAAAATGATCCATCAGTAAATTCTCAGGTGCCAGAGACCACAGTCACCACAGATACTACTGAAGAAGCTCATACCCCAAACCCTGCCGTTGGTCTTAACAAAGACCACCAAGAGATAGAGGTAATAGGTCCAGAAAATGCAGATACAGGTGATAAATCAGAAAGCCCAGATGAAACAAATTTGGGGACCTCTCCAGATGATGAAACAGAACATGAGAACAACCAGTGTTCTCAGGATGGAGAAGGGCATCGCCTCTCTTCAGAAAGCCCAGGTGAAGAGCCCTGGAATGCAGATCCTGACCATTCTCCAAGTGACAAGGAAGGAAGAGCAGAGGCACACTCAGGAAGCAGTTCTGCAGCCCTCCATGAGGACGTGACTGACACAACCAGAGTGTCTCAGGAGCCACCCCCTGTAGAGTCCCAGGAGGCCCAGAGTCCTGATCATTCCAGGGTGGGGCTAGAGAGCCAGGCTTCACTGAGAAGACGACTGGCACCAGGTGAGAGAACCCACGCAGCTGCCACCCTGATTTCTGTTGCTCTTACCAAGAACACATGCTAAGTCAGCATCATCCTTTTCAGAGAACTTACGTGTGTGCCCAAGGTCACAGATGACAGCTGAGCTGAGGTTGGGTCAGGGTTTCCCACTTCTTGCACTAGTTCGATGCACTCCATGAAGTAGCTTCCCACATATAGACTGCATTTTTAATTTTTAAAAAATTTTTTTGGCTGCATGTATAAACAGGTCAAGCATCTCTAATCCCCAAATCCAAAATGCTCTGTAATGTGAAACCCTTTGAGTGCTGGCATATGATACCCCAAGTAAGAACTTCCATACCTGACCTCACATCACAGGCAAAAAAATATTTTTTAAAATTACCTTTAAGTTTTGTGTGTAAGGCATATAGGTAATATAATTGAGTTTCATATCGAGACTTGGGTTTCATCCCTAAAATAACGCATGTAAAGCAACTATTTTGAAATCTGAAACCTTCTGATCTTAATTAACCATTGGGATACTTATGCTGTACTTTAGTATGATGAAAAAGGCATGACTTTTTAACAAGTTATCTCTGTTTTTTTCTTTATTAAAGTACGTTTAGGATTATAATTTTTTGAAATCTTTTTAAAAGAATTTGGGGAGACCGAATATTACATAATCACGTCAGTGGCACAGTATCCTTAAGTCAGTCACGTATCAGTTTTATATTGGGTTGTTGGAAAAGCTTTGATGCATTTTTGCATAGACAAATACGTCATGACTTTTCCAACAACCTAATAGAACTTTGAGCAAATCAGTTCAACTCTTTTATCTGATTTCCCCCACTTGCATATTAAGGGGAACAGGCACCACATTGTCCCTTTGAAGGTAGCAGTTGTGGAGTACTAAGGCCTTGACTGCAGCTCAAGCGATGTGGATCATAGTTGTGGCCCTACCCTTGCTAATTGGGTGACCTTGGGCAACTCTCTTAACTTCCTGGTACTTCCGTTTCTCTTTGGAAAGTCAAGTTGGATGAGTTGATATTCAGAGTCTCTTCCAGTGCCACTTCTGTGATTGTTTATGTGGATTTATGTTTTGTAAGTACTCTGAGGAGTTCAGTCCAGAATGCCCATTTGCTGATGCAAAGGAACATAAAATGTAAGACGTTCTGTTTTTCAAGAACTTGACTTAAAGGCTAATAATTCATTTTGCACTAAAAAAAATCAATGACTGACCTCAAATATATTTCATTCAGCATTAGGATAATCTGTAATTTCAGTGAAATCAAGGACTGCGTCCTCATTCATTGTGTGGCTCTGGTCTCTGCCACGCAGAAGCGACTGTGTGAATCTTTGCCAAATGAATGAGTGTGATTCGTATGGTTCATTTTCTGTCATCAGACTTTCACCATTATGGGTGTACTCTGAGTAGAAAAAGAAACTATTGTTTAAAAGAGGCAGTTCATGGTGGAAAGAAACAATGTAGTGGAATGAGCCAATCTGTAGTCTAGTAGGTGAGAAACCTTGTTCTCAGCTCAGCCTGTCTCTTTTTCTGGCCCTGGGCAAGACCCCTTTAACCTTTCCTTATGATGGGCTAGGAAAGGAGCAGGAGAAGGTGACTATTAAAGATCTTCTCCGTCCTTAAATTCCATATGATACTTTAGAAACTTGTGTTTTGGTGCAGTATGATTAAATGAATTCTTAGTAGGTGAAGGTGATTCTATCTAGCTCTGCATTGTTTTTCCAGTAAAGATTATGGGCAATAGCTAGCTTTCACTGTTATGAGGTGCCTGGCAGGGTCCAAACACACATCTACACTGTAGAGTGATTTAGCTTAGAGTGCTACAGAATATTGCCATTCCTTTCACCCACTCATTTCAGTATTGGTGTGCTCACCCCACACCTAGGTTTTTACATAGTTCATAATTTTATTTTTACCTTTGTTGTTTTGTATACATCTTTCTTTTTTTAAAAATTATTTTATTCAATTTCACTTATTCATTCATTCATTCATTTTAATTTGATCAGAGAGACACAGAAAAGGAGAGAGAGGAAAGTGAGAAAGCAAGCCACCAGGTCTGGGACTCGAACCATGGTCAGCCATGTGGGAGTGTCCAGCGCCTTAACCACCATGCCACTTGCTGGTCCCATTGTATACATCTTTCCCTGAGCATTTCAGACTTGCTTTTGTAAGCTGTTTGAAATTGTGTAGTCATCTCTCCTGTCTCTGAAGTTAGTGCTCTGTATCTATGCTTGGAGCCATGGGAGACTTGAACATTGTCAGTAGAGCAGCATTGCCTTTTAATGTCGAGTCTTGGGTACAACTGACATTAGTTAAATCCGTTCTTGATTGTGTACATTTCATGGCATCATATTTATTTATTTTCAAAGCATTATTTTATTTACTTTTATTCATCATTATTATTATTATTTTTAATTTGGCTAGAGAGGGGAAAAGTGAGAAAGCAAGCCATCAGTTCTGAGACTCGAACCACAGTCAGCCATGTGGGAGTTCATTGCCTTAATCACCATGTCATCCATGGTATCACATTTTAGATAGATTTGACTACAATATTAGAATGCTTTTTTTTTTTTTTTTGAGGTTTTTGCTATAGGGTGCGTGCGCTCGCCAGAAAGACAGACAGAAAGCGAGAAATCACTACTTCAAGGGGATGGCTATGCCACAATCCCTTCTCCTTCATTCTTTTCTCGGGATCATGGGCACACATGCACAGACGCCCAGCGTGAGTTTAAGCTACCGGGTCTGAGATTTGAACCACAATTGACTACGTGTGAGTCCAGTGACATAGCCATTATGTTAAACTACTGGTCCCAGAATGCTTATTTTTTTGTCCTTGATGTAAGGCTAGTGAAGAATTGTGAATGAAGCAACAGTATCCTTGAATGAATTTCATAGCACTTCATTTTATTTTATCTTCTTTTGTTTTTATTGCCAGAGGGTATGAACACTCACCTAAGTGAGACAGAGAAAGAAAAAGGGAGAAAGCACCCCCCCCAATGGGGTGCGGTCATGCCTCAATCCCTTCTCCATTTCTTGATCCTATATGAGTTTGAAATACATCACATGCTTCTGATGTATTTTTCAAACCACCAGAGCTGGGATTCAAACTATAGTCAGCTATGTGCGATCTGGTTCTCTTAACCACTTGGTTATGGGGCTGACTTCATTTTATTCTTCTGCATAGAATTAACAGTAGTAGCGAGGTTTAAGGAAGAGAAGGAAAAAATTAGTCTACTATAAAATAAAATTTTACCAAGTATAGAAGTCGTGTCGGTCAAGTAATTCTTTGGTTTGGTGAGAATAGAAAGATAAATACATTCTCATTAGCATTCTGTCTAATTTTTCCCCCTAGAGACTGGATGTCATCAACAAGAAGCTCAAAAATTGGACGAACACAAAGACAATACACAGGATACCATAGGAAACAATAATAAGAGTTTTTGGAGCTATGGTGAGAACCAAACCCTATTTTATTCCAGTAAAAGATTCGCGTTTAGAAGCTCTTTAAGTGAAAATGCTAGAACACAAGCAGATTGAAACGGTGAACATGGTGTTAATATGTGTTTTGTAAAGATATTCGATAGAGTGATAGCTTGAAGGGTTTTTCTCTTAGGGTACTGGCTCATACTTTGTTATACTTAACAGAATGGGAATTCCTACAGTAAGGGCTTTCCATACATAAGAAATTAAAATTGATATTTCAGTCAGAGATGAACTTCTCAAGTGGCATTTTTGTTTTGACACCTAAAAAGAGTGGTCTGCTGTAGGTGCAGGTTCTTTGAGAAGACCGAAGAAATCCCGATAGCTCATTTCTAAACCATATCATTAGCTATAGCAGCAAATACGTAAACTCAGCTTTCACTTCTCAACGAAGATACGGATCGTTGAGTATTTGGATCTGAGAAAAAGTTAGAGGAAATGTATTTCTGGTAGACTTAAACTATTTAAGGCAAAAGGAACTTAATATGTCCAGTAAATCCAGACAGAATCTTGATTTCATTTCACTTCAACACAGGCTTTGATTGTGACTCGGGTTCAATCTAACGTCCTACTCTTTTCTCATTCTTTGACAGGCTCCACCTTTCTTGGCTTCCTGGTTGTGGCCTTTATGGTAAGTCTTGTTACTAGCTACTATTCCTCTCCAGCCCAGCAAGTGCCCCAAAATCCAGCTTTGGAGGCCTTCTTGGCTCAGTTCAGCCAATTAAAGGATAAATTTCCAGGCCAGAGTTCCTTCCTGTGGCAGAGAGGACGCAAGTTCCTCCAGAAGCACCTCAATGCTTCAAGCCCCACCGAACCAGCCACCGTCATCTTCACTGCAGCTCGAGAGGGACGAGAGACCCTGAAGTGCCTGAGCCACCGTGTTGCAGATGCCTACACCTCGTCCCAGAAAGTCCCTGCCATTCGGATCGATGGGGCTGGAAGGACCTTGCAGGACAGCGACACGGTCAAGCTGCTGGTGGACATGGAGCTGAGCAGTGGGTTTGAGAACGGCCAGAAGGCTGCTGTGGTACACCACTTTGAATCCCTCCCTGCAGGCTCCACTTTGATCTTCTACAAGTATTGTGACCACGAGAATGCTGCCTTTAAGGATGTGGCCCTGGTCCTGACCGTTCTTCTAGAGGAGGAAAGGTTAGAAGCAAGTGTGAGCCCAAGGGAAACTGAAGAAAAAGTGAGGGATTTACTCTGGGCCAAGTTTACCAACTCTCACACTCCCAGCTCCTTCAACCACATGGACTCGGACAAACTGAGCGGGCTGTGGAGCCGCATCTCCCACCTGGTGCTGCCGGTCCAGCCAGTGAGGAGCATCGAAGAACAAGGCTGCCTGTTGTAGAGCTCAGCACGCAGCTGGTTATGGAAGGCGCAGGGTTATGGAAAAGGCCGTGTGAAGGCCCCCATCTATGTGGAAGCAGGTTGATAAATAAGAGGAAATACTCTGAAAAGCACACATGAGCTTATTTTTTAAAAGAAGTTTTCTTTTTTCTTTTTATAAAATCTTTTAAATGTAAACTTTGACAAAGCTAAAAATTAACCTGTTTTTCTTTGCCTTTTCAACCAAATCAGGTTTGAAATATAGCATGATCTATATAGGGAAATTTTTTTAACCCTAAAATTTAGCAACAGAATCATTGCACAGGGATGTTTTTATTTCTCAGAGTAACTGTTGAGTGATTTTTGTCCTCTTGAGTGGGAATGTATAAAGAGTCTTTTGGACAGTGTTTGGACTTGGACTAAAGCAATTACAAAGCAGTGATATTTTAAAAAAATGTTTCTATCACGTGTCAAATATTGTAAAAACTTAATAGCCAGCTTATGGGTTTATATCTTATACTAATTTGCACTTTTGAGTAGTATGGACAAAGGAAATATGAATTTGAACCCTCAGATACTTACCTAAACACTTACTATACATAAGGCCCTGTGCTTTTATTCCGTTAATGGACTGAGGTAACAGCAGTTGTACTCAAAAAGTGTCCTGTAAAATAGGAGTTAATGGGGAGATTGTTTCTAGTCAGAGGAATTGAAGAGGTTCTAATTGACTGTATCTTCAGCTTTCTTGAGTCATCTGTGGCAGGAGTTTTCAAACTGTCTGTTGGTGCCCTCCTGTTTGTATCAGAGCAACTCTGCTTTGGGCTGGTTTATGTGGTGGAGTTTCTCCTAAGACTTCCCTGGGACAGAGTTTCACTGACAGTGAAGTTTAGAAACCACTGACTAAGTGAAAAGTCTTCCTAGAAGATAGGATATGGGTAGAAAAACAGTGAATGTATTAAAACATAGGAAGGAGATGAAATACAGGTTTATTGTAGAGATGCACTATTTATGAAAGATGAAGACCTACAGATGAAGTAGAATGTATAAGCTAGCATTTACTAGCATGTTTTTGATGCTTATTTTTCTGGTAATCATCCTTTCTGTCTCCCCTGAATGGACTTCATCATTGTCTAGGATGAGAGTTGGAGTGCCCTTTCAGCAGAACGGAAGTTAATAACCATTTTAATAGTAGATGTTATATGGGCATGCTGGGCATAACTTCACCACAGTTTGCTCTGCAGTGATGAAAGGACATAATGTACCTTATTTCTTGACCATTAGGTTAAGAATTCGAGAAACGCAACAGCTGTTCTGCTGGTGAGAGGAAGCAGAAGTGGTCAGTGGGTTCCCGAGGTTTTAATGGCCGGCAGTAATGGTGGAGCTTGTCTGTGGCTGTAAGAAAGATTGAGGACAGTGTGGGTGGACACAGCAGTTGCTGATTCGCTTTTGAGCCTTGAAAGCAGCACTCTAGGAGATGGTCTTGACCTAACTAAGGGTCTGTTCCGTTCTGTGGACGTCACCGTCATCCTGGAACGTATCAAAAAGGTTGGCCTCTCTGCTTCTATGAAAGTGTATATATGTATGTAAAAGAAGTCATTGGACCAACGTATAGAAGGATTTTAGGAAACACTAAAAACATAGTAGGGATCTTTATTGATACCTAAAAAGACCAGAAAGACATCAAGAAGACATACCACAGGAAAAACTCATAAATCGGTTCCAACCAAAGCCTTTAGTGTGCTCAGTTGAGTGCAGGGGCAAACTTGAAGGAACAATTTGCATTGTTGTTGAAGGAAACATCCAGTAGATTTGAGAAAAGATCTGAACACAAAGCATAGTGAATGGATTATGAGTCTCAATCCAGTATAAGAGTAGAGAAAATGGAAGAAAAGACTATACCGTATCGCATTTTTTCTGTACTCTACATCTTAGATACTAGGTTACACCATGCAGAACCAGTGGTGCCTCATGGAACTGCTTTGTTGGCCTGCTGGCCAGCAGACCTACCTCAGCTCTGTAAAGGAACCAGGACGCAGTATACACATCTGGTCTCAGCAGTGGCTCAGGTCACAGTTGACACAAAGATTTTTGTTTCTTCATTCAGTTCTCGTGGCTTTTCATCACTTCCTTTTACTATCATTTAGAAAAACACATTTCAAAACCTCAATATTTTTATTACTTTTCAGCCCCAAAATGCTTTTACATTACATAACGTCACAATTTTTATTACTTTTCAGCCCCAAAATGCTTTTCTTTCTGTGTATAAGTGCAATCAACAGAGACATGTCAGTTTTCTGTTCACCATTTCAAAAATCATTTTTAAAAACAAGCAGTGTGTTGTTAGCTCTGGGTCTTCTCCTGAATAAAATGATTTTCTTTAAAGCATAAAGCTATATATTTTTAAATGTACAAATAATTAAAAAAATCTATTACCTAAGATAACTTCTTTAGGTTATTTTCTATTTTATTATTCCTATTTTTTACATTTTCAAGTTTTCAAATTTCCTTTTGTGTCTTTCATAGTTCATCTTTCATGATGATAGATAATTTGCTTGTTTGCTTTAGAAGAATGATTTATGGGCATGATACCATTACACGATAACTAATTTTTACCACAGAACAACTTCCATAATATTATGTGTTAATATAAATCACTTTTTCAGAGCAGTGCCCGTTGTAAAAGCAAGTCATAGAAACTGTCTTTGGACTTGAGAGTTTTCCCCTTTAGGGCAAAATTTAGGTTTTCTAGTTAGTTTTGAGGCCCTAGGGGACAAGTTCCAGGGATTCATGTCACTAAAGTTAGTATTTCTTTTTCTTTTTTCTTTTTAAGGTTTTTGCCATAGGGTTCATGCACTCGCTGGATGGAGACAGAGACAGTGAGAGGGAAAGTGAGAAATCGCCCCCTGGGGGGATGACATGTCCCAATCCCTTCTCTTCCATTATCCTCTCTGGATTTTGGGCACTCACGCACACATGCCCAGCATGATTTTCAAGCCGCCAGGTCCTGGACTCGAACTGTGGTCAGCCATATGGGAGTCAGTACATTAAACACCCCACTAATTGCTGACCCTGAAGGTGGTATTTCTATTTGTTTCTATTTTTGTTTTTAAAAACCAACCAATAAAGCAATTTTAACACATTTTATTTGAAGGCCTCCATCTGTGGTTAGTGAGGCGCCGCATGCCCGAGACCACCTTCCTCTCACCCCCTGTATCAGTGTCGGCCTTCTCGGCCTGCCCCTTCTTCCTTATGAAGTTATGCTTGCTTTCGCATTTGTTTCTTGTGGATATTGAAGAATGTGCCTTATTCAAATTAGTTTTTCTGGTTGTTGTGAAAAATAAATCTTTTTAATTTTTCTCAGCTGACTGACTCATGATTAAAATTCCCAATAGCGAGTTTGTAGAAATGGGCAAGTGGTCATCAGCGGTAGATGGGAAAGGACTCTGCCCCCATTGGCAGTTAGCTGAAGAGCCAGAGGGTCCCATGAGGGTCAGGTGGCTCCCAATGAAGTAGGTGCTACAGATACTTTGTCTCGGGTCCATTGTAGTTCTTTAAGAAAAAAAGCAAAAAACTATTTCCTTTATTTTATTTTTCATTATAGTTATTTTCAGTTTGACCAGAGCAAGACAGAAAAAGCAAGCGACCAGGTCCAGGAATCGAACCATGATCAGCCATGTGGGAGTCCTGTGTCCCTAACCACCATGCTACCTGATGCCCCCCCACCCTTTTTTCTTTTTGAGAAATTTTTACCATAGGGTGTATGTTTACTGGAGACACAGAGACAGACATAAAGTGAGAAATCACCCCCCCAGTGGAGATGGCCATGCTTCAATCCCTTCTCTTCCATTCTCTTCTTGGGATTTTGGGCACTCACACACACACGCCTGGTATGAGTTTTAAGCCACCAGGTCCAGGACTCGAACCATGGTCAACTACATGGAAGTCCAGCGATGTAAGCATTACACCATCAGCTGGTCCCAATTCCACTGTAGTTCTCAGGTCACGGTTCTCGTGTCCTGGTCCCACCTACCGAGGCTGCCCTCATTGAGAAGAGAGAGGGTAATGAGTACCCCTGTGCCTTACTCCTGACCCAGGGTATGCTGACTGCGAAGGTAGTTCTTGCGTGGCCATCCCTCATCTTGTGTGTTGGGAGTTGAGGTGGGAGAACGGGGGTGGGGAGGTGGGGGGGGGCATGGGCAGGTGTTAAGGATTTCTGACTTAGAAGATTTCCGAACCAGAATTCGCAGAAGCTCTGAATACCTGTCCCACCCCTTACCCCCACTTCAGCTTTCTGCCCCACCGTACCTAAACGTATACCAGGTACCTGTACCAGTATCTAACCAGAACCAGTGGCTTTATGGCACATTTGACAGAATAGTTATCTACCAAATATGAAATTTTGGAAATCTGAAAGATGAATTCGTTTTATTTCTTCCATGAGAAAGACTAGGAGCACCCCTAACTGTCCACACGCTGCAGTCTCCGCCCAGTCCCAGCCAGCTCTTGTGATGGGCACCTGCGAGCATGCCCTGCGGGTAAGGGGGGTCCCGGGACACAAACCTGTACCTTCCCACGTGGGTCCAGTTGCATTACTGTGCCACCACCTGGCCTCATTCTTGCAGTTTAGAAAGACAGGAGCTCTCAGGAGTTAGCATACCTTAAGTTACGGGACGTCTGGCCCAGCCACAGCGGTGTGCATGCGGCACCACTGCTTGGGAGGCTGGCAGAGGCCTGGGAGGCCAATGTGAGCGTGCCGGTTAGGTACTATTGTGCACATGGAATCCTAGCTAGTTGGGAGGCTGGAACAGGAGTGTGAACACAGCAAGAGCCTGTCAAAAACAACTGTCTCTTAGGACCAGCAGTTAGCGTAATGGCTATGTCGCTGGACTCCCATGTATTCGACCACGGTTCGAGTCCCGGACCCGGTGTCTTAAACTCACGCCGGGCGCGTGTGCGTGCGTGCCCAAGATCCCGAGAGGAGAATGGAGGAGAAGGGATTGCGGCGTGGCCATCCCCCGAGGGGGTCATTTCTCACTTTCTGTCTCTCTCTGTCTTTCTGGTGAACGCATGTGCCCTATAGCAAGAACCTCTCCAAAAAAGAAAAAAAAAACCAAAAACTCTCTTGTCTCTCCCTACTTCCTCACTCTGCATTTCTCAAAGGAAAAAAATATGAGCTTCATGCAGTGGGCTAAAGTTCAAGTAATGAGTGTAGGAGAACATAGAGATCTCTCAGGTGCTGTCTCTGCCCCCCTTTCATAGGAGAAAGGAATGAATGAACGTCCAGCAAAGCAAAGCCCACCGCAGCTAGGTCACTGCAGCCGCAGGGGTGCTGGGTGCGAGGAGCAAAGATGATGCCTAGGAGCACCTCTGCCCCCTCTAGGCTCTCTCTGTCTTTCTGGTGAACGTATGTGCCCTATAGCAAGAACCTCTCCAAAAAAGAAAAAAAAAACCAAAAACTCTCTTGTCTCTCCCTACTTCCTCACTCTGCATTTCTCAAAGGAAAAAAATATGAGCTTCATGCAGTGGGCTAAAGTTCAAGTAATGAGTGTAGGAGAACATAGAGATCTCTCAGGTGCTGTCTCTGCCCCCCTTTCATAGGAGAAAGGAATGAATGAACGTCCAGCAAAGCAAAGCCCACCGCAGCTAGGTCACTGCAGCCGCAGGGGTGCTGGGTGCGAGGAGCAAAGATGATGCCTAGGAGCACCTCTGCCCCCTCTAGGCCAGCTGTTTGGAGAGTACTGAGTGATGGGCCAGAGGATGGGGTACCCCACAAAGACCCCAGCTCACTGTGAGAGCCCCCAGGAACCCAAGGGACAAGGAGGATGTGGAGAGTCACTTGGTCCTCCGTGGAGGGGTCTGTTGGGTGATGGAGGCCATGGAGTTGGGGACAGGCCAGCGGGCCAAGCAGGGAGGAGCCTGGAGGAGCAGCTTGAATCAGGCTGCGAAGGGTGAGAGACGCTGGCATCCCCACCCTGGTGACTGGCAATGCCAGGGCCTGGGGTTGGAGGAATGAGGGCCATTGCTCTGCTGGGTGTGAGCTCTGGGGAGGGACGCCTGGTTGTGCCTGTGCTGCCCAGCTGACCTGGGAGCCACAGCCGTGTCTGCGGCTTGGCGACCTTCCCCTGGGTGTAGTCAGGTCTCTGAGCAGCACTGGTAACTTTGTAGAAAGCACATTTTCATAGTGAAGGGAGCTTCTTCAAGTCCCTACAGAACTCCCAGGGTGGCACGGACAGGTTTCGGGGCATGTGTTGCTGGGGATCTTGGGGAACCCTGGGCCTACCATCTCCACCCTATTGTGGGCCTGGACAGTGCAGCAGCCTGGGACTGAGGCCAGGGGAGGCTAAGGGGTCCCAGGGAGAAGGGCTGGGCCAGGCCTGTGACCCATGACCAAGTCCCAGGCCAAGCAGATGTGCAGGGCAGCTGTGCCTCAGCCGGTTCCAGGCAGTAACTAGAGGTGGGGTGGGTGTCGGCTGCTCTTCAGGCACAGGCAGGTGGCTTAAGGTTGGGGAGGGTGCAGGGTCAAGACTTGCCTTAGAGGACAACAGTGGGACACCTGTGCCGGCAGCCCCTGGGCTGGGGATGGCCTGCTGCAGGGCAGAGGCCTGGTGGCCACTGCCTAGCCCGCTGTAGGAGGGCTCCCTGTGGCCTTGAGGTCAGGGAGAGCAGCTTGCTCTTTCTCAAAACACCCGTGTACACACGAGTTTGCGCACACACACATGCATACACACACGCTTTCCCTGCTGAATTCTGTTCACACCACGGCTATTTCCTGGTCCCCAGGCCCAACTCCAACTGCTGCTGCTCTGTGGTCTGCAGGGCCTGGACCGAGGCTCTCCCCGCCTTCCCCGACCCCCACGTGACACAGGGCTGCCTGTGTGACACTGAGTCTCCTCAGGTTTAGAGGGTTGGTGACCTGACCCAGAGCTATGCAGAGGGGGACGCACAGGCCTTGAAGGCTGGGATCATGGGAGCAGGGGGACCATCCCCCTACCCAGGTGCTAGAGCTTGGGTTGCTACCCGTGAGGCTCACTGGTGTTCCAGGGCCACTTCAACCCACAGACAGCAGCATCTACACTTCAAATCCCATTTCCCAACAAGCACTAAATCCCGGGTACGAATGGAGGCGAGGAGACTGGGCAGTATGGAAACAGGGGAGAGGAAGCTGGTAGACTTAGGATGTTCTGGGCCAGCCTGTGGCATGGTGGTTGAGGCAGCTGCATCCCACATGTCGACTACAGTTCGAGTCCCAGACCCAGTGGCTTGAGAAACACATCGGATGTGTTTGCTTGCCAGTCTCAGACCCTGAAAAGGTGGAGATGGGGCTATGGTGTACTATTCGCCACGGGGTGCTTTCTCCTCCCCCTCTGTCTCTCCAGCGAATGTACACACCCACTGGCAAAACAACATTCGTAGTGTTGAAAAACCCATGACCAGCGTCTCCCTCCGCAGGTGAAGAATGGAGGACCCTATAGCATTTCTATTTCAAATTCCTCATTTATTTTGACATTCACTTGGTTGAGGCGCCAAGTTATCAAAGATGCAAGACGAGATCTGTAGCAGGAGTGACGTGGGGATGGAGAGGGACGGCGGGGAGGACCGAGTGCTCCTGCCCCGCGCCTCCCTGTTCGGGGTGCAGCTGGAACGCGTACAAACAGTGTCCCACAGTACAGACTCCACAGCTAAAAAGGACAGTGCAGCTGAGTGGGGGCGCGTCCTTTCCCACGGGTGGGGCCTCGCAGGTACAGCGAGGCGGGCAGGCAGTCTGGAGCCGGGTTCGGAGCCTGTGCCCTGAGCAGTGTGAGCTTCATG